ACTAGCACTTTGAATTTGTAAGAATATTAAAAGAATAATATATGATAACTAAGGTCCTTCTAGGAATGTAAGGATAAGTTAATATTTGAAAATTTAATGACATTCATTTGTTAGCAGGTCAAATGGGAGAGGAGAAGTCCTAACACAGTGACTGTTACCAATTTAATGATAAAATAACATACTTACGATTTTTTAACATGTAGCTGAAAAAATTGCCAGTTGTCATGCATCATGAAAACTAGTTAAACATCAAAATAGGCTATCAAATTATCCCACTATTACCATTATTACTTAATATAGTCTGTAATTGTTAGCCAAAGTAATTATACCTCCCTCCTCCCCCAAAAAAAAGAAAATCAACATAAGAGATGTAAGTACTGGTAAAGAGTACTGATGTGTTATCATGTAGAAATACTATTATCTACCTAGAGAATTAATTGAAAAACTGGTAGAGACTAATATGGTAACTGGATAAAAAATAAGTATGTAAACTTTTTAAATGTTAATAACATTTAGATGGCCGGGCGCGGTGGCTCAAGCCTGTAATCCCAGCACTTTGGGAGGCCGAGACGGGCGGATCACGAGGTCAGGAGATCGAGACCATCCTGGCTAACACGGTGAAACCCTGTCTCTACTAAAAATACAAAAAACTAGCCGGGCGAGGTGGCGGGCGCCTGTAGTCCCAGCTACTCCGGAGGCTGAGGCAGGAGAATGGCGTAAACCCGGGAGGCGGAGCTTGCAGTGAGCTGAGATCCGGCCACTGCAGTCCAGCCCGGGCTACAGAGCAAGACTCCGTCTCAAAAAAAAAAAAAAAAGTAACATTTAGATAACAAAGGGGGAGATATGTTTTTTTCATAGTAGTAAAAAAAAAAACTAAAGAACACTGAAGAGTAAACTTAATTAGACATGTGGTACATCTAGATGAAGAGGGACATAAATCAATATGTGAATAACAAAGATTGTGCCATGTTGGCCAGGCGCGGTGGCTCAAGCCTGTAATCCCAGCACTTTGGGAGGCCGAGACGGGCGAATCACGAGGTCAGGAGATCGAGACCATCCTGGCTAACATGGTGAAACCCCGTCTCTACTAAAAAATACAAAAAACTAGCCAGGCGAGGTGGCGGGCGCCTGTAGTCCCAGCTACTCGGGAGGCTGAGGCAGGAGAATGGCGTAAACCTGGGAGGCGGAGCTTGCAGTGAGCTGAGATCCGGCCACTGCACTCCAGCCTGGACGACAGAGCCAGACTCCGTCTCAAAAAGAAAAAAAAGATTGTGCCATGTTCCTGAGTAAGAATGCTTCTCAGATTACTCCTGAATTTCATGTAACACCAATCAGAATCTTAACCTTTTAAAAATAGTATGAGCATGGTCATTGAATGACTTCTATAGTTAGTTCATTGCTAAAATAGCTAAAACATTTTGGAGAACTAGAATAGAATAACTGGAATTGCCCAAACAATTTTAATAAAAAATATGCTGGTGTTGAAGATAAACCCAGCATATGTAAGAATCTAATAAGATAAATATGATATTTCAAATTAATGGGGAAATTATAGTTATTCTACAATTACAGAAGATTTTGGAAGAAGGTGCTAGCTATTTGCTATAGGAAGAGAACGGATTAATTGCTACCGCATACTTAAGTATGTTCTTTTTTCCTTTTTTTTAATGGCAGTTTGTTGGTGTGAAATAAAATATGTTCTTTTTTAATTAAGATCTAAATTAAAAATTAAACATGGAGATAAAAGGAAAATAGGCTGGCGTTTTTACAGTGTCAGGGTGGGTTAGCAAAGATGTGATATCAGAAGCAGAAAATAAAGTGGTCCATTTGACTAAATAGAAACAAAACATATAGCAGAGACTTGTAAATAAAATTGAAAAGCAATCAGTTAACTGGGAAAATACATTTGTAATTTTATTGACAAGGGGTCAACATTCTTACTATTTAAAGAGCCCTTACAGATGAAGAAAAAGACCCCAACACCCCAGTAGAATGCAGGCTAAAGAACAGGAGCCAGCAGTTCTCACAGGACTAAAAATAAAGTTACTGCACATGTGTAGATATTTTTTTGATTTAATAATCCTACATGTAGCCATTTGTTCTTATAGCAAAAAATGAAAAATACTTGAATTGGTTAAATTTTGATAATACTAATGTTGTGCAGCCATTAAACCTGAACTGTAGATTTCTATTCCTTATCATAAAAAAATGTTGACCATGTATTTCTGAGTGAAAATAGTTATTGAGTGGTGTAGGTAAGGCAAGAGTCAGTGAAGCAATGTCTGGATAAAAATTTACCAGGATATTAGCATGCGTTTATTTGTGGATATGATTTTCAGGTTGTGTATGTGTTTATATAACCTTGGTAATTTTTTGAGTAAAGGTTAAAAAATAAATAAAAGATGGATAGATTTGACCATATAAAATTTGGAAACTATGTATGCAGGAAAAAGAGAAAAAGTGGGCAAATTATTTGGCCTTCTTTGGCCTGTAAACTTCTTAAGGGCAGACATCAGGTCTCTTGTTGAATACAGTATCATAATAAGTACTCAGGAAATATATGTTGAATGAATGCCATGTACGTTGATTTGCACGTGGCAGATTTCTCCTGTGTCTTCTAACTTTTTTCTACAACTAACTTCATCACTTAACATAATTGACTTTAGTAGTTATAGTGTTGGACCTAGCAGTACAGAGATCTTCTGAAAGATTCCGTTGTTTAAGACACTTGAAATATTAAATATGTAAAAGTTATTCTGAATACAAGCCATGAATTACATGTTTGTTTCTGTTTTATACCTAGGCACTTTTTAAAAGAAGGAAAGAGAATTTAGTGTCGGAACAAAAGGAAAATGTGAATATACTTCCAGTCTAGGAATATTAAAAATTCTGAGATATCAGAAAGGAAAAATATGCATCTTCAATAATTTTTTGCATTTATTCTTCCCTCTTCATCTAAACATCTCCTACCCTGGTTTAGTGCCTCATAACTCTTTGCTAACTACTGTATTAACTCCAGATGATTTCCCAGTTACTAGTCTCATACTGACCATTGCTTCCAGATAATCTTCCTGACCCAAAAATTTTCCTTGAAGGCCTGGAATAAATGTCACTCCTTCCATCCACCAAGCCTTGGGGATATACTTTATTGATTAAGAATATAGAAAGATGGGGCCAGGCATGGTGGCTCATGCCTGTAATCCCGACACTTTGGGAAGCTCAGGTGGGTGTATCACTTGAGGTCAGGAATTCCAGACCAGCCTGGCCAACATGGCAAAACCCCGTCTCTACTAAAAATACAAAAATTAAGAATGTAGATAGATGGGAGCAAGAATACCTGTTTTGTCTCTCTCCACACATCAAGTTTCTCACCTTTAATATGGGGATGTTAATAATAGTGCTTGTTAAGGAGTTGTTAAAATTAGATATTTCACAATAAAGCACATGGCATAGTCCGTAGTATATAATAATCATTTAGAATACAGCTTTTTTTTTTTTTTTTTTAACGCATAGCAATATGATCACCTTTCTTGATCTTACTAATATGTTCTCTTTTTGTTTTTTGCTTTTGGTTTTTTTGTTTTGTTTTGTCTTTTTGAGACAGTCTCCTCGCTCTGTCACCCAGGCTAGAGTACAGTGGTGCAGTCTCAACTCACTGCAACCTCTGCCTCCTGGGTTCAGGTGATTCTTGTGCCTCCACCTCCTGAGTAACTGGGGCTACAGGCGTCCACCACCACATCTGCCTAATCTTTTTTGTGTATTTAGTAGAAACAGGGTTTTGCTATATTGGCCAGGCTGGTCTCAAACTCCTGGTTTCAAGTGATCTGCCTGCCTCAGCCTCCCAAAATGCTGGGATTATAGGCATGAGTCACCACACCTGGCCTTCTTTCTATTTCTTACAAATTTTAAGCCTCTTGAAAATAGACTGTATGATGACCATTTTTCCCTCCATACCTAGTTCAGTAATCTGTAGATATTAAATAAATATATATCTTTTTAACTATAAATGAATTAAACTGTATTTTTATTCCAACAATCAAGTGAGAAAGGTGCTTTGGCCTAAATGGTTACTAAAATATTTAAGTGTGGTAACTTGCTTTTTAAGTGGATCTAAGAAATATAGAAAATAGGATTATTCTAGTCAAAAAAAAAGAATATAAACCTAATTTTTTAATGGTTGAGAAGTTTCTGTAGAAATCATTTCACGCTTTTTAGGTAGAAAGGGGGCTAGACATGGATCAGGAAATCATATAAGAACATTATAGAAAGAGCTTCTGGAAAGGGACACAATATATGAGAGATGGTGAAAGGAATTTGGATTTAGCATCCCAGTACCTTTAGTTGGTGATATAGCAGTTTAGTAGAGGGTAACTTTAACACAGTAACAAAGACTTTTCAGAAACTCAATGTAAAAGAAAGAAATTTAGCAGTGGCTCAGGCCTGTAATCCTAACACTTGGGGAGTCCAAGGCGGGCAGATCACCTGAAGTCAGGAGTTCAAGACCAGCCTGGCAAACATGGTGAAACCCCATCTCTACTAAAAATACAAAAATTAGCCGGGTGTGGTGGTGCGTGCCTGTAATCCCAGCTAGTCAGGAGGCTGAGGCAGTGAATTGCTTGAACCCGGGAGATGGAGGTTGCAGTGAGCCAAGATAACGCCATTGCACTGCAACCTTAGCAACAGAGCAAGACTCCGTCTCATAAATACGTACATAAATGAATAAATGAAAGAATTTTATATTTTGCACTGGTAGAAATTAAATTAGAGATCAGTCACATTCGATTTACCTGGAGTTTGGGAGATAGAATGTTTTCAGAATTATTTTAAGTGTGGTAATTAAAGAGTTTCTTTGGGATTTTGGCTTGATTGGAGGAGATAACTTAATGGGATGAAGCAGAAGACAGTTAAGAGCCATTGTAGATTACAGATTAATGGCTTTACTGTAGAGCCTTAAATTAATCTGTGATTTCAAACTCTCATCCAAGCTTTGTGTTTCACAGACTTGTTGAGCCCATTAAAGAAATGGAAGTCTCGCTATCTGATGGAGCAGAATGTCACCAAGTTACTTCGGCCTCTGTCTCCAGTCACACCACCCCCTCCCAATTCAGGCTCAAAGAGCCCCCAGCTGGCCACGCCTGGGTCATCTCACCCAGGAGAAGAGGAGTGTCGAAATGGATACAGCCTCATGTTTTCACCAGTCACATCTCTTACTACTGCTAGTCGCTGCAACACTCCTCTGCAGTTTGAGGTGATTTGGGTTTGGTTGCCGGGAGTGCTGGATATGAAAATCACCATTTGTACCTTCTCATTTCAAATATAATACCATTCCAAATATTTCTTTACTATCTTCCTTCCCCATCTCAGTAAGAGAATGGGAAACCTCAGGGTCATTGTGGCCTATTACCTGGTCGCCTCTCATCTTGGCAGCCCCTATACTTCCCAAAATAGGCATAGTGCTACCACAGATCCCATTCGTGTATCTTTTGCATGCAGTCCATCAGTCTCCATATGTTTAGGTAGTAAGCATGCTAGATCTCCATCGTTATCTTTACTGTAAACTTTGGTCAAAATAGGCCTCTAGCTGCCTGTAGTATCTGTTAGTAACACCAGCCTGAGAGCACAGATGATATTGATTGATTGTGTCTTCGTTTCTAGGCCTTTAAATAAGTGAAGTGTCTTTCCCAGGTTGTTTGGTATTTTCATTGTGGCCTTAGTGAACAGAGATTTAGAAAACATTGGGGTATGGCTTATGGCGAATGCAGGTTTTTTCCACTCCAGGTTACTTTCCCTCTTTGTTATAATGTCTTAGGAATGAGAAGTAGACAGGAGACTAGCAACAAGTATTCATGAGACAAATTTATTACCTTCACTGTGGGATTAAGTTAGAAATGTCTGCCTCAGCTGTTTCAAAAAGTGATTTTGAATCACTTTAGTGTTCAGGTTCGGGTGACAGCAGGTTTCAATAGAATTCATGTATACTTTTTTAAAACACTTCATCTATTGCATGTTACTTTGATTTGTAATTAAAATGAACAGTGTCTCTTCCTTCCTTCTCAGAAAAATTTGTTCTGACCACTAAACACACTCTGCTGCTCTGCCCCCTTGCTTGCACTTCTCCAGATGTGTTTTTTGAGAAAGGTGAACGTCCTAACCAATCTTATGTTTCCTATTCAGCTTTTCCAAGTATGAGGATTCAGAATACTTGGATTTTTATATGAGTAAGAGGTAGCTAGCAACATTGAAAGCAGAACTATATTCTGTCTTACCCTAGATCTCTACTTTTGGAGCAGACCTCTTTCTGGGTGAGGGAAAAAACCTCCTGGTTACATATGAGTTATCTAGGGAAATTACTCTTTACCAGATTCTTTATGGAATTCTTTCAGCCAGGTAATACAGCAGCTGATTCAAGCCTTTCTAACTTTGTCTACTTGCAATTGACTTTGCAGTTGGCACCTAGAGCTTTACAGTAAGGCATCATGAGAGGAATTCTCCCGGGAAGGCCTAAGATTATAGGAATAGAGTTTCATACTTTATCAATACAGACTTTATTATAAATGTGGGATTATGAAAATTAGAAGGAGGCCAGGCATGGTGGCTCATGCCTGTAATCCCAGCACTTTGGGAGGCTAAGGCGGGCAGATCATGAGGTCAGGAGATCAAGACCATCCTGGCTAACACAGTGAAACCCCATCTCTACTAATAATACAAAAAATTAGCCAGGTGTGGTGGCAGGCACCTGTAGTCCAGCTACTTGGGAGGCTGAGGCAGGAGAATGGCGTGAACCCGGGAGGTGGAGGTTGCAGTGAGCCGAGATCGTGCCATTGCACTCCAGCCTGGGGCTCTGTCTCATTAAAAAAAAAAGAAAGAAAGAAAATTGGAAGGTAAGTCACTTTCCAAAACAAGCAGGTTCAGCACTCAGTGTGTTCCTTATCCCTTGTAGCATTTGGGATAACTATTAAACACTGCAAATATAAAGTGGTTTTGGTTTTCTTTTTTTTTAATTGCTGATCATTTTAATAATACAGTCCAACCTTAATGTTAGAATACCAGGAGGGAAGGAAAATACTAAATAGTAAAAGGTCCAAGGCATGGTTTCACTTGGAATTTAAGGAAAATTTACCTTTCTCATCAATAATAGAACAGATTTCACCACCCTGAACCATTCTAATCACCATTTTAATAGCCATACTCTTTGCTGTGTTCTAGTACAGAGAGGTGGGGAGGCTTTTTTGTGTCAAAGGCTGTGACACATTGTGAAATATCAAAAAGGTTTCGCATATAAAGACCAGCTTAGGCTGGGCATGGTGGCTCACAGCTGTAATCTCAGTGCTTTGGGAGGCTGAGGCAGGAGGATTGCTTGAGGCCAGGAGTTTGAGACCAGCCTGGATAACATAGTGAGACCACATTTCTCCAAAAATAAAATACAAAACTTAGCCAGGTGTGGTGGCACACACCTATAGTCCCAGCTACTTGGGAGGCTGAAGCAGGAAGATCACTTAAGACCAAGAGTTTAAGGCTGCAGTGAGCTGTTATTGTGCCACTACATGCCAGCCTGGGCAGCAGAAAGATCCCATCTCTAAAAATAATTAATTAAAAGACCAGCTTAGGCCAGGTACAGTGGCACACACCTATAATCCCAGCTACTCAAGAGGCTAAGACACAGGAATTGCTTGAGCCTGAGAGGTTGCAGTGAGCCAAGATTGCGCCACTGCATTCCAGCCTGGGCAACAGAAGGAGACTTTGTCTCATAATAATTTAAAAAAAAAAAAAAAAAAAATTTTAGCATATTAGTTTGGGGATGGATATTTTTGAAAAGGAAAAAAGCATTCAGGAAAATGGTGAGAAGCCTTAAGTGCTAAGGGAAGAAAGTAAGAAGATAAACAGTAGAAGAGAACAGAACAAGATTTTCAGGAGGGGAAAGCATCTAGAAAAAACAGTGGAAGCAACATTGGGAGGGCAAGCTTAGTTAGCCTCTCCTTTCTACCAGAATAAGCCTCCCCTCCTTTTCTTGCCCTAAGAGCCATATTCCACTCACCATTTCACACATAGATGTATACCACCCACTCACTCTCCATGCCAAGTAAAATTCACAGCCAAAATCCTGCTTTGCTGAAGCAGCCTCATTTCCCCTACCTCAGCATATACCTGCCACCTAGGCCACAGTTTGAATAACTGTCTACATTAGGCACCCTCTCCTTACCTCAGCCCTAGCACCCCTGAATTACTATCACACTACCACCATCACTCTCTTCACTTGTTCCCATTTACATCTTTCCATTAAGCACTCACTGCTCAGTCTCTGTTTGTTATGGGAGTGCTGCCTCACCTGAAAGTCCCAAGGTGAAATCCTACCCTCTATAGGAGGCAGGGACTTAAGTATACACATACATGCTTTTTCTGCTCTGTTGCCAAAAGTACAATGGATTTTACAAAATAACATTAATAGGGGTGGCTCAGTTCTAATTAGATTATGCTTAGAACCACCTCTAGCCTGTGAGCTAGAGATTCCATCAATCACATTTCCTGTAACTCATTCAAGAAGAACTGGCAATCTCCCTAACCAGGTCAGCCCCCAGAACACTAACGTCTCCCCCTGGATAGCAGTGGGAGGACCTGAGGCATATAAGAGAATAAAGAAATGTGACAAGCAGAAGAGGCATTGGGTGAAGGAACAAGGTCCATCTAAGGAAGAATAAGGGGTAGGATGCCCCTCAATAACAAATACTATAGGTTGCTAAACTGTCATCTAAAATACAAAGACGTATAACACTAAAATTTCACCAGTCTAACTCTTTCCTTATATGTGCTTGAGATGTTTACTTACAGCATGAAACATTATAACCAATTTATCCTTAAATGCTTTCAAAGATACCAGGAAGCATTTTAACAAGTCATTCTGTCCATCAAGATGAGTTCTGCAGTTAAATATTTCCCCTATGCATTCTTATTCAACTTCTCCGCCCCCCAAAAAAGTTGTGGCTAACATCTATGCTTGCTTTTATTTTTTGTTTGTTTTGTTTTGCTTCTTGACTTCGAGTAGATGAATAATAACAAGATGCTTTTCCCTCCTCTAGAACATATCCTCCCCTGAGAGTTCCCCTGCGCATAGGCCCGAGTCCCTGTCACCCGAGGTAGTTATCACACCATCTCAATCACACTTGGAGGCTGAGAGTGAGTGTTCATGAATGTGTTCCTGAGTGTGTGGGGAGGGCTGGGGATCTGAGTGAGTGGGGTGATGGGCTGGAGGGCGGCCACTCAGTCACAGTAAGTTAAAGGAGCCTTCCTGTGTGACTGTGACTACACAGGCCTGTCAATGTAGATGGAGGAAAATGAAGTAGGGGTGTGTGTGAGTGTGTGGTGTGTGTGTGTTTGGTGGGGTTGGTTTTTGTTGTTTGGGGGAGGGGGTGGCTGGAGTTCTATTAAAGAATAGAATCTAGAAGTCAAGATGCTGATATGTGGTAGGAGCCTTGTTAAAGAAAGGCTAATAAATAAGGAAAATTGAGTCAAAAGTTGATAAGAGCTGTTTTTTGAGTTGGGTGGTGACTTATGCTTTGTTCTAGGGTTAATCTAACAGCTCTGTAAACCAGATGTTTTGGCCTTTGGTTGATAGATTGAGCAGCTTCTTCAGGAAGGGAAAGTCATTCTGTCTTTCAGCTTTCCTACATTTTCTCTGTAGCTCCTTACTGGGTGCACAAGGAAACCAAGTGAGTCCCTGGCTTTGTGTCATAGGCCACCATTCTGCAATGGTTAGGATATGGTTGCTATACAAGTGTTATCTCTTAGGATATCAGTAGAGTGGTTTTCTCACAAACCCTTCTGCTGTGGATATGTCAAACTCAGATTTTAGTGCTAGAGTTTCTATTATAAGCTTTCAGATGTAATAACAGTGAACTCTGAATCTGTTAATACATGGGACCTTTTTTCTCTTGAAGAGAAAATTAGAGTCTCTCAGAAATATTCAACTGAACTTTAACCCCACCCCCTTCCAATAAAAAATTAGGGCATAATTCAGTGACAGTCTAGTAAGTTCTGAATCAGTAGTAGTTGATAGGTTAATGTGAAACTGAAAAAGGTTGTATTCCACTAGTATATTAGAGATTTTCTTGGTGTTTTGACTCTAGCTTGTTAGGAAGGTAAAGCTCTCTCTCCTCAGTTGTTAAAAGGTTCTAAGATAGCATAATTTGAAGACTGATATGGTATGGTATCTGGTTTTCTGGTACCATTCTTTGTAGGTGGTTAGCTGTAGTTGACCTAGTGTTGGAAGTTTGGAGGTTATGATAACCAAATAGTAGGTGGGGTTTATTTTTGGTACATTTCAGCATTTCAGAATCTGCAGTGATGAGCATTAGTGGTCTTGTGGTATGTTGACATACATTAGAGGATAAAGAAAGAAGAACTGAGTGGCCAGAAAGTTGTATGAGAAACACACCTTCTTTAACAGTGAAAGTGAGTGAAGAACTGGTTGGTTGATGTCTTTAATGCCATCCTCCTTTACTGAACCAGTAACTTAAATACTTGCCTTTCCGTCTACTTTCTTCTTCCTCCACCTTTTTCCCTCCCCTCCACCTTGCATCAATATTAATTTAGAAATTGATAACCCCAGAAGCCAGTTATCTTAAGACACCAGTCTCACCTTTGTAGTGTGCATGGGGCTAAGGTAAATTCCTTATTATACCACTTGTCCCTTAGTGTAGTACAAGGTGACTCAGCAACCTGATGAAAGGCTAAGCAGGCAAAATAGTCACATTTAGCCAATTACCTAACTTTCCCAGTATTTTCCATCCAGAAAGACTTGAAAGCAATTTGGGAAAGGCCGGGATTCTTTAGTACTCTGGCCTATATACACTGTTGCTACGTGGGACTTTTACAGAATATAATGGCTTTATCTGCTCTACTTCCATCCCTCTTATCTTTCCCTGTTCACCTGTGTCCCTCTCCCCTCCTTTCTGCCCTTTGACTTTTTCCTTTCTCCCCTACCCCATGTCTCCGTTGATTTTTATTCTTTCAGCTTTGTCACCGAAAAGACCTGGATTTGGCAAAAGTAGGATACCTTGACTCCAACACTAACAGCTGTGCTGATAGACCTTCCCTACTCAACTCTGGTCATTCTGACCTGGCTCCTCATCCCTCCATCGGACCCACTTCTGAGACTGGTTTCCCAAGCAGAAGTGGAGATGGACATCAGACCCTCGTGAGAAACTCAGACCAGGCATTTCGGACAGAGTTCAACTTGATGTATGCCTACTCCCCTTTGAACGCTATGCCTCGAGCAGATGGACTGTATCGAGGTTCTCCTCTAGTGGGGGATAGGAAGCCTTTACATTTGGATGGGGGATATTGTTCGCCTGCAGAAGGATTTTCCAGCAGATATGAACATGGCTTAATGAAAGACCTCTCTCGTGGATCCTTATCACCTGGTGGTGAAAGGGCCTGTGAAGGAGTCCCATCTGCCCCCCAGAACCCACCACAGAGGAAAAAAGTAAGTGTGCCATGTTATATTGGTGAACTTTTCAAGAATGTTAACCAAGTAATTCAGTAGATATTCGTAAGTTTCTGCTATGTGTTCTGCACTACTCTCAAACAAGTGAGACATAGTCTCTGCCGTATCCAGTGAAAGACAGGCTGTTTTAATACAACTTGGTGAGTGTTGTAAATATTCAGCAAATGTAAATGCCTGTATGTGCCATACACTTGCTAGACAATTGAGAGGTTAGAACAGTGAAAAAGAAATTTTACCTATTATTTAGTGTGTCCCAAGTTCTAGGCACTGTGTTAAGCTCTTTAAATGTGTTTTATCCTCACAGTAAGCCTATAAGATAGGCAGTTTTCCATTTTGCACACGAGGAAACTAAGGTAAGTTGAGTAACTTTCCCATGGTCACACAGCTAGTAAATGGAAGGACCAGGATACTACCCAGTTTGAGAGATAAGGCTAGAGAGAGAGGTGGCAGGTTACTGATTTAGCTGAATCTCAAACAATAAGTAGGAGTCAGCCAACCAACAAATGAGGGTGAGGCATGTTACAGTAGAGGGAGTAGAACAGGTAATTACGTGGCACTCCATTGGGCGGGCAGCAGGCATGCAGTGTGGTGCAAACAGTTGGATGTTGTTGTATCAGGTGGAAGGCTGGGAGAGCCAGGAGGAAAGTGCAGAGAGTGCTGGGCTGGGCCAGGCCATAGAGAGCTTGCTAATGGGTGGGGACTCCACTTCTAAGTAATGCCTGATCTGGAAGTCACAAAGCCAGAAATGTGCTTTTGTATAAATGGTTCTCAACTAGGGGTGTTTGGGAATGTGTTGGAGTGTTTTGAATTGTCCCAGTGACTTGCATTTATTGAGCAGGGCCAGGGATGCTGAATGTCCTGTGTAGGGGACAGTACCACGTAATGGCCAAACATCTGTAGTATCCTCATTGAAATGAAACTTAGTGGTTTTTTGTATTTTCATGATGATAATATTCATTACCAGAATTTATTAACTTCTTTCCAAAATTACGTATAGAAAATGCATATGCAAAACTGTCTATATTTGTTACATTTGCACAGAAAAATGAGAACCCTAAGGGGATAGAAGGAGGAGGAAACATTGGCAGATAATTTGGATTAGGATAGTAATTGATTTCAAAGATTGTTGCATGAACAGCATTGACTACCAGAAACAAAGATGAAAACAATCTTTAGATTTCTGGTTTTATAATATTTACTATGTGCAAAAGTCATAGAAATCATAATATATTATTTCAGAAACACTTCTGAAATTTATTGGGCACATTTAAGCATAAATTTAAGCATATTCAAATTCTGTGCTGGATGTTTAAGATAAAAAGCCCTCCTAGAACTTCGAGTTTAGTCAGGGAGCAATCAAGACACGGTAGTAAGTTCTACAGCCTGTGTAAGTAGTGTGCCAGAACAACAAAGAGTACTAGGCAGGGCAGGGATTATGGTCAGCAGGGTGGGGTGGGGGGTCTGCTGTCAGAAAAGAATGAGCAAGTGTTAGGGAGATGAAGGGGAAGTTGGGGAGAAGTTACCAAGTTGTTTTCTAGAGCTAGCTTGCTTAAAGTATAAACTGGAAATAATAATTTCCTCCCTTTTTACATTAATTACATCTATGTCTAACAGAAACAGTAATAAATTCCTATTTATTTCTTGAAATATTGAGCATATTTAAGTACCCTGGAGCATTGGTTTTTTTCTTTTGTTTTTTTTTTCAGAATATAGTTCCTTCTCTCTCTCTCTTTCTCTCCCTCCCTGTCCTCCATCTCCTTCTTCTCTTCTCCCTGCTTCTGTCTCTCTCTCATGCTCTCAAACAGCTAATTCTAGGGGCTTCCAAGGAGTGCAGAAGAGCCATCAGAGTCACCTGGGAGGCTTTTTAAACTATACAAGCTTCCAATTCTCCCTTCTCTGGGTACTCCCATTGTTGCAAATACCTATGATAGCACATTTCTGTTACTGTGTAATGGTAACCTCACAAGTTTTTCTGAAGACAGAAAAAAGCATGGTGGTCTAATTGGCAAACATTCTTTAGAAACTTACCTCCTAGTTTATTATCTTCCTCTTACCAATTTCCAACTGTCTTAAATATGTACCTGTGCTCAGATCTCTTTCACACCCCCCAAAAAAAGTTGTCAGGGTTGGTATCTGCTTTGTTGGCGTGGCTTGGCTAGTGGTTTACTACGGTACCATCTTTCCTTCTTTCCCTGTTGCTAGTGATCCACTAATGATATCCAGCTGGAGTACCGTTTTTTGTTTGTTTGTTTGTTTTTTCCTTTCTAGGTATCCCTGCTGGAGTACCGAAAACGGAAACAAGAAGCTAAGGAAAATTCTGCTGGTGGGGGAGGTGACTCTGCCCAGAGCAAAAGCAAGTCTGCAGGAGCTGGGCAAGGCAGCAGTAACTCCGTTTCTGACACTGGTGCCCATGGTGTGCAGGGATCCTCAGCCCGAACCCCATCTTCCCCTCACAAAAAATTCTCCCCATCTCATTCCTCTATGTCCCATTTGGAGGCGGTAAGCCCATCAGATTCCAGAGGCACTTCTTCATCTCACTGCAGACCTCAAGAGAATATCAGCAGTAGGTGGTAAGTTTATATCTGATGTTTTATAGTTAAATTGGGGATGGGGGGAGTATATATCTAGGATCATTCCCAGTTTTACCTAAAATCTATGGGAACACTTGATGGGAACATCTGAGACAGCCAGCCAACAGTACCATCTGTCCTGTTCAGCTGATTTAATAGTGTCAGCTGCAACCCCCCAGCTTTGCAGAATTAAGAATTACCAACATGCCTGTGGAGCAGCGCTTTGGATGACATGTAGTTATGGATGCAGATGAGCTCTTTTATTTGGTGGGCACTAACACTGCCTCTTCTATTTCTCATTTCACATGAAAGGTGAGTCAAGAATGCAGCCAAGTTCCACATGAATTAACAACAAATGTCTCTCTTCCACACAGTTAGCATATACAGAGCAAAAAGACATTCTGAAAGGACTTGTCTGGTTTAGGGGAGACCGCAAATTTAAAAATGAATAATACTGGTGGCAAATACTGAGGATCAAATGTGTGAAATAGAGAATGAAGCACAGGAGTTCAGGGATCTTGAACTGAAAAAATAAGTCTCAGAAAGAAGAGTCCTGGCTCATATGTTTAATGTTCATTAATCTATGAAACCTTTATTAAACCACTACTATGTATCAGGCACATGATTTCCCAAAGGAGAAATTTTAACATTTTTAAATGAGGCTTCAGGGAAGTTGACATCTTTAATCTACTTTTTCCTTGATTTCTTTTTCTTTAAAAGTGATTGTTGTTGTTGTTGTTGTTGTTAAAAGTGGTTGTTGTGGTGGTGGTGGTGGTTGTTAAAAGTGGTTGTTGTTGTGGTTGTTGATGATGATGATGATGATGATTCTCTTTTGTGCCTGACATAGTTGGAGGCAGAGGAAATACCTTGTTTTAAATTGGTTCTGAAAAAAGTGTTGTTTAAGAGGATGTTTTAAGAAAATACACTGTGCACCTTGGTTAGGGCTTCATTTGTTTTGGTTAAGTCCTGTGGCTTGAACTTGCACCCTGTTGCCTTTACAGGATGGTTCCCACATCAGTAGAACGACTCCGAGAAGGAGGAAGCATCCCCAAGGTCCTCCGAAGCAGTGTGAGGGTGGCCCAGAAGGGAGAGCCCTCTCCCACATGGGAGAGTAACATCACAGAGAAAGACTCAGGTGAGCCCATGGCCTTCTACTGCCACCACATTCAGGGACACATGAGCCAAGTCCTGTACAGTTCATGCCGAGTACTGAGTTGAGGTGAGTCAGTTTCTGATGCAGTTGGGCTCTGCCGTATGCTAGGTTCTAGCCCACTTATGCTCATTTGGGCTACAACATTTGTAAGATCTAGTGTTGCTTGCTCTCTGTCTGCTCTTTTTTCCCCAAGGAATACCTTTCTGTAACTCTCATCTCTCCAAAGTCCTGGAAATCTACCTCGATGAAGGATGAAGAGAAAGAAGGAGACGGGAATCAGATCAGGCATTTAGAACATAGCCCATAATTAACCACTCCTTTTGCCCTTCTGGCATGCTGCACTCACCCAATTTGTCACAAAGAGAGCAGCATGGGTTGGTGATGGCATTGGTGATTTGAATGAACAATGGCTGTTTCTTACTTATTCTAAGAAGCCAAGTTGATTTTTTTTTATGTGTTACCTTCCAGACCCTGCAGATGGAGAAGGTCCAGAGACATTGAGCTCAGCACTCTCTAAAGGAGCAACTGTTTACAGCCCTTCCAGATACAGCTACCAGGTGAGATGAGAAATTGTTGATATCTAGATATAGGAGTGTGTTCTGGGTTCCAAATTGTCCTGGCCATCCTTTGCCATTGAGATGCTGTCTTTGCATATAGTTTCAGCAACTTTGGAAATAAGTCATCATCTGCTTGCCCTCAGGTAATAAATTATGCCAGAAAATGAATAAGGTGATCAAAGACAGACATTTTACTGCCTTTGGTTTCCTAAAAAGAATACATGGTTAAAAGATGAAGAAAAAAAAAATAGGGTATTATAAATGTTTACCATTTATATTAAAAGTCAGCCATTTAAGGGACTTGTTCACCTCCTTATTCTTTTCCTCCCAACTTTGCTAGCTCCTGCAGTGTGATAGTCCTCGGACAGAATCACAAAGCCTCCTTCAGCAGAGTTCCTCCCCCTTCAGAGGACATCCTACACAATCTCCAGGATACAGTTATCGAACTACTGCACTGAGACCTGGAAACCCCCCCTCTCACGGTTCTTCAGAATCATCCCTCTCTTCCACGTCCTATTCCAGCCCCGCCCACCCTGTGTCCACAGACTCGTTGGCCCCATTTACGGGGACACCAGGGTATTTTAGCAGCCAGCCACATTCTGGAAACAGCACTGGCAGCAATCTTCCAAGGAGGAGCTGCCCTTCTAGTGCTGCTAGCCCTACCCTGCAGGGACCCTCAGACTCGCCAACCTCAGACTCGGTTTCTCAGTCCAGCACAGGAACTCTGAGTTCCACCTCCTTTCCTCAGAACTCTAGGTCATCATTGCCATCAGACTTACGGACTATCAGTCTGCCCAGTGCTGGGCAGTCAGCTGTCTACCAGGCCTCCAGGGTATCTGCGGTTTCCAATTCACAGCACTACCCACACCGTGGGAGTGGGGGTGTGCACCAGTACCGACTCCAGCCACTGCAAGGGTCAGGAGTCAAGACTCAGACAGGACTTTCCTAGGGCTTCTGGATTTGGGCAAACAGAACTGAATGAGCCCATAGCTGCTTCCTTCCAGCTGCCTCTGGAACCTAGGCCGAGCATATTGCTGGGGAAGGGGGGGTACAAGGTGCCAGAGGATTGGGTCTGGTGGACAAGAAACAAGACTTGTGGTCACATTTGGCCTCTGGCCTTGGAGAAAGATGTAAATCTTGTCTGAAGCAGAGACTATAAAGAAGTTTCTCCCTGCTGTCAAGGGTACATTGTTGACAAGCAAATGGTGTTTCAGTTAGTAACGGTTCTAAGTGCAATGAGTTGTGTTGAAGCCTCCGTCTCCCATCCTTGCCTGTAGCCTGTAGTCACTTGTGCAGTGAGGACATCTTTTTAAATTTAAAAAAAAAAAAAAAAAAAAAAAAGTTTTCAAAGGAAAAAAAGTGATAAGAGCCAATCTCAAAAGCCCCAAGCCATCTGAGTACTGTTAGGGTTTTATGCACTTAAGAAAAAAGGTAGGTATATGAATGTTCATCCTAAGACAACCATTCCAAAAGCAGGTATCTGGCCAATGTGTGTCCACCAAGAATACTGCCTATCTTTGTCTTAAGATCACCAAGAAATAGGCAAGGATAGTAAAGCTTGGAACCTGCACCGACTGGAGGGTGCCTGGCTCTTTGAAGAAACGCTCATGGTCAGCTCTTGATTATTCGGGAGCAGATTATCTGAGTAGATGGAGCCTCCAACTGTTGCTATCCTACTCCCCCTTCCCAAGCTATTTCACAGCTCAGTAACCCACGAAGTAAGTAGACAAGGAAAAGAGGAATGAGACAGGATATAGGCCAATTGCATTGCTACTTACCAGCTTTTGGCAATAAATTTGATTAGGAAGGATACTGAGTGGTTTGGGAATGCTTCGAATTTTATTTTTTCTACTCCCAATTAATCAGGAGTTGATGATCCCATGAGCAGGACCGCCTCCATGATTGGGGAGCATGCACTTGTGACTGCAGGGTAAGAGTGGGAAGATAGGTTTGTGGAGTGGCACCGACAGGACTGTGATTGTGTGTGGGCCTGCCCCACATTTCTTTGGGGGATGCTTATGTGAGAGTGGGCCCAGTGAAAGAGTTACCAAGCCACCCACACCCCTAACACTGTTCTGGATGAGAGATGAGAGCAGACCGGCTTCTCCCCATCAGTGCATTGTGCCTGTTGTACACCCCTGGAGGAGCCCTGGAGCCAGCCCAGGTGGGGTACACAATCTTTTTAAATTCCATATGGTTGCCAGCTTATTTCTTTCACTTGTTTACTGTAATATCTGGCGTGTTTTTATTTATCTAATTTTGTATTCAGTTATAACCATGGTAGGGGTAGTGAATATATGACAGGTGTAATCCCTGGTGCTGCAGTGGACCTTCTTTTCTTTTGGACAAGATAATACTGTGAGTTTCCCTCCTTCCTTCCCTCTAATTTGTTTTCCTTTTCTCCCCCAGCCTCTTGCATCCCCTTCTTTTCTACCCTGTCCTACAACTATCATATGCACAGTCTTCTCTCTTTGTGTGTGACTGTTACAAAATTTCACTTTTCAAAATCGAAATCAGGTGTTTGCTCAAATGAGGGGAGATTTTTTTTTTTTTTTTTTAAATGCTGAGACCTCAGCAGAGTACTTTTCTTTTTGTTGTTTCCCCCACAAACCCATCAGTCTGGGAGAGCATTGGGAGTGGAAATCATGTTGCCTGGGATGCTGGTTTCTTTGTATATTATATAAAACGTATGTAAATGTCTCTCCATTTGGGCTGGGGTTTGCATTCTCCCCTTGGCTATTAACCGAGGGGAGAGGCCAGCGGGCAGGCGGCCCTCACCCTGCCTGGCACGTGCAGAGACCCCAGCCACTCTGTGTGGGCAGGGTGCTGTCAAGACCAGACCTCTTGGGGGGGTAGGGGCGGGGGGGTGGGGGGAACTCTTGGAAGGGAAGAAGTATCACTTCTTTCTCAAGTGGAGTGTTTACACCTTGCTGTAACATTTGAACTTTCACAAGAGATGTAATAATTTTGATAATAAAATTCTTAACCATAATAATCAAAAAGTTGAGAACTACTTTGTCCAATTTTGTGGCCCTGCCTTACCTAGTTAATGCCATTTTTATCTGAGGAGAATGTGCTCTTGGTGGAGTTGTTTTCCCCATCATAATGGGGCCAGGAATACTGTCTGACCTTCCTTCGCTTTTTATGATTGCAGTCAGGACAGTGTGAAGGCAGACCCTGCAACAGGGCAAGTGAGCATTAAAAACTGCCTTGAACTTGAGTGGTGTTCCTCATCTTGGAGCAACTATTCATTGGTCTTTTTCTTTTTCATTCAAAAACAATGCCAGACATTGTTTTTGGTGCTGGGCTTATGGTGATTAGAATGCTGGTTGAGGGTGGGCAAACTAAGGTCTCTTCTTTCATGGAGTTTACATTCTAATGGAGGAGAGACCTAAACTAGTATATAATTTTAAATAGTCATTGCCATGTTAACAGTTAATTGTTTCATAGCAGATATGAAGGAGCCACTCTAGATTGGTTGGTCAAGAAAAGTCTTTGAGGAGTTGACATTTAAACTGAGACTTCAGTGACAAGGAGGCAGTCCTGGGACGATGTGAGTGAAGTTTGTTCTTGAACATTGCAGACTCTGTGGTAGAAAAAGCTTGGTTAAGATGTAGTAAATGGGTGGGGCTGGGCAAGAGGATAGAATATTCTGTAAGAGGGAGATAGGGGTCATATCATGTAGAGCAGCGGTCGGCAAACTCTTTCTATAAAGGACCGGATAGTAAATATTTAGACTTTGCAAGCCATATATGATGTCTGTCATATAACTATTCAGCCCTTTGGCTGGGTGCAAATCAGGCCTGTAATCCCAACACTTTGGGAGGCCAAGGCGGGCAGATCACTGGAGGTCAGAAGTTGGAGACCAGCCTGGCCAACGTGGCAAAACCCTGTCTCTACTAAAAATACAAAAATTAACCAGGCGTGGTGGTGCCATCTGTAATCCCAGCTACTCAGGAGGCTGAAGCAGGAAAATTGTTTGAACCTGGGAGGTGGAGGTTACAGTGAACCGAGGTCACACCACAGCACTCCAGCCTGGGTGATGGAGCAAGACTCTGTCTCCAAAAAAAAAAAAAAAAAAAAAAAAACAGAACTATTCAGCTGTTCCATTGGAGTGCAAAAGTAGGCATAGACAATATGTGGCTATGTTCCAATAAAACTTTATTTACAGGAAACAAGTGGCAAGTTGGACTTGGTTTGCAGGCTGTAGTTTGCTAGTCTCTAATGTAGAACCTTGTAGGTATAATTTAAATAAACTGCATTCAGTAAGTACAGTGGAGGAGTCATTGCAGTATTTTAAGGAGAGAAGTGACATTGTCTAATTTGTATTTGGTTGATTTTTAAAAATTACTCTGATTGTTTTGATCCTGTTGGTAAAGAGATGAATAGGAGCTGAGAAACTGGTTTGGAAGGTAGAGCGGTTGTTCAGGCAAGCAACAATACAATGGTGGCTTCTATTAAGACGGTAATGATGGGGACAAAAAGTGATTGGAATCAGGATATGTTTTGCAAGTACACAGCAGAACTTGCCAATGGATTGAATTGGCAGTATTGTGTTCTAACATTTGTTTGACAAATGTTTACTGAGTAACTAAGGTAGACTGCATTTTGCGAAGCACGTAAGGAATTCAAAGATGAAGATGCTATTTATTAGTTGAAGGAGGTTAGAAAATAATTGGAAGACTGGGTGCAGTGGCTCACACCTGTAATCCTAGCACTTTGGGAGGCCAAGGCAGGCGGATCACGAGGTCAGGAGTTCGAGACCAGCCTGACTAACATGGTGAAACCTGATCTCTACTAAAAATACAAAAATTAGCCAGGCGTGGTAGCGCATGCCTGTAATCCCAGCTCCTCGGTAGGCTGGGGCAGGAGATCGCTTGAACCCAAGAGGCAGAGGTTGCACCACTACACTCCAGCCTGGGCGACAGTGAGACTCCACCTCAAAAAAAAAAGGAATTAAGTGGAAACAGAACAAAACTGCTTGTTTTCTTAGAAGACCCCTCCAAAATGACCTAGGAGTACCTAGGTGACCTACCACTAACCACAACCTAATTCTGCCTGGGGTAGGACGAGAATAGTGTGCATGGTCTTTAGAAAGTGTTTCCATATACAGTGTCTTACTTCGACTCACAATTGTGTGAAGAAAGCAAGCCAAATGCCAGAAGTTAAAGATGAGAAATTGAGACCTAGTACAGTGTTTCAGCTATACCACAGGGCTTCTGATAATGAATAAAACTAACTGATTTCTGCCATAATTGGAAGATTCTGTTCCATGACCATTGGCCGAACACCTACTGTGTGCTAGGCTATATCTGAGGTGCTGAGAATATCAAGGTAAGACAGTCAACTGCCCATTGAGAGTTAACCTATTTGCTATTCTTTTCAAGTACCTACTGTATTGCTAGGTACTTTGCTTTTGATATGGTGTAAATCAGAGGTGTCCAATCTTTTTGGCTTCCTGAGGCCACACTGGAAGAATTATTCAACACATAAAATACACTAACAATAGCTAATGAGAAGAAAAAAAAAAAACAAAACAATATTTTAAGGAAGTTTATGATTGTGTGAGGCCGAATTCAAAGCCATCCTGGGCCACGTGCAGCCCGTGACCTGTGAGTTGGACAAGCTTGCTGTAAATAGAAGCTAGACAATATTAATTAAAGAAGTAAGCCAGTGCAACAGTGACACCTTCTATGTCACTTTACATTTTCCTGGACTCTTAAGTCATCAGCTAGCTCATTTACATGTAACAATGGGTAAGGTAGGTATAAGTTCAGAAGATATAACTTACCCAAAATTTCTCTCTTTTAAGTGGCAGGCCCAAACCAAGAGTTTTGGAAATTTTGCAGTTAACCCAGAAAACAAATAGAAACAGCTAGAGATACTGTGACACTACGACCAGAAACCACTTACCTAACTGAAAAAGTATATGATACCCTTTACTATCTTAAAAACAGCAGTCTGGCCCTTTTGCCCCCCCAGGCATCAGTTTGACAGTGTAGGGTTCTCTGTTTAGCAGAGGTTACCCTGAAGGAAAAAAAAAAAATGCAGTTGTCCAAATGAAACAGACCCTTTGCTTTTAGACTGCACTGATGACAACCTCCATATTCTGCTGTGAATCTCAGAGAGAGAAAGGAGTTTACTGAGGGTTCGTTCTTTTTTTCTTTTAAGAGACGGGGTCTCACTCTGTCACCCAGTCCGGAACGCAGTGGCATAATCGTAGCTCAGTGCAACCTTAACCCTCCTGGGCTCAAGCAATTCTCCTGCACCACCACGCCCAGCTAATTATTTTTTTGTAAAGACAGGGTCTTGCCATATTGCCCAGGCTGGTCTCAACCTCCTGGGCTCAACGATCCTCCTGCCTCAGCCTCCTGAAGTGCTGGGATTACAGACATGAGCCGCAACACCCGGCCTGCCTAGGGTTCTTAAAATGGTCAGGTCTAAAGATAAATGATGGAAACAGTTTGGAGAAAAGCATACTCATTGAAGGAGATGGTGCTCTTGTAACTTTTACCTGCTCCTGCATTAAAAAATTAACTGGCAGGGATTCTGAAATTATAGTTTTTACTATTTCTGAAATTACCCATTAAAGCACCACAAAGCAGTCATGATAGGAAACCTGGAAACCTTGGACAACTTGACAGCAAAACTAGGTATCCCCAGAAACCCCCAAACAAAAAACGGGTAGAGAGAAACCACTAATAGCCACAAGACCGGCATGGTATCACTATCTGTTCTAGTAGAAGCAGTGGCACTTCTGATGAATCTCAGAACTTCAAAATAACAAGTACTCACTTGACGCCGGGAGCAGTGACTCACGCCTGTAATCCCAGCGCTTTGGAAGGCCGAGGCAGGCGGATCACAAGGTCAGGAGATCGAGACCATCCTGGCTAACATGGTGAAACCCCATCTCTACTAAAAATACAAAAAATTAGCCGGGCGTGGTGGCGGGTGCCTATAGTCCCAGCTACTCAGGAGGCTAAGGCAGGAGAATGGCGTGAACTCGGGAGGTGGAGCTTGCACTGAGCTGAGATCGAGCCACTGCACTCCAGCCTGGGTGACAGCGAGACTCCATCTATAAAAAAAGTACTCACTTGAAAGCTCACCAAGCCAATTTGAGAACAGCAGCTGAAACTAGGTGGCATTTACAGTGAGTACAAAGGATGCTTGATTAGGCCTGAAAGGACTGGAACGGTCTGGACCTAAGAAACTTAATTCAAAGCCCTTACAGGACAATGCCCCACACCAAAATTCCTTGTTAGAATCCAAACTGAACAGGACATGCAAAACGATGGGAGGGGGTGTAGAGCGATTAAATTCATTAGATTAAATGAAGTATTTTGAAAAATAAAATTATGATTATCCCATAAAATTCAGAATGTACTATCCTTACAGAAATAATACAAGGATATTAAATAACTTGTTCTTTAACTCCTGAGAGAAACAATTGTTCATAAAGTTGCAAGCATATTGTGTTGAATTGTTGAATTTAAATAGCTATGGTTCACACAATCCATATTTCAATATTTCACATACACACCAAAAATGAGAATACAGCCATGAAATGAAAAACTATCATAAGTCATGCCTGCTTTTTAAAAGTGCAGAATCACTCATTCCATATAAAAATTGATTTAAAAAAAAAAAAAAAACGCAAGTCTTAAAAACCTACAGGTAAAAATGAGCAGAATAACATCTATAGAGACAATAAAAGTATGCCAAAGAGATGCAGATAAAACATTAAAAAGTAACAAATGGCAGGGCATGGTGGCTCACACCCATAATCCCAGTACTTTGGGAGGCCAAGGTGGTTGGATCATTTGAGGTCAGTAGTTTGAGACCAGCTTGGCCAACATGGTGAAACCCCATCTCTACTAAAAATACGAAAATTAGCCCGGCATGGTATCAGCCAGGCATGGTGGTGCACGCCTATAATCGCACCTTTTCAGGAGGCTGGGGCATGAACATCGTTTGAACCTAGGGGGTAAAGGT